AAATAAAATTGTTTTTTTAATTTCCATTTAATTTCTCAAATGTATTTTTAAATAAAGTTTACGGCAAAAATGAATGTATATTTCCATATTAGAAGAATTTTTTAGTAGACTAAAAATATATATACAATGGGTGATCGGTTAACGAACATAATCCGTTCCAAGACTTTGTTCACTATCTGAATTGTTCGTGAACCAATTATCGATTTACCATAGGTTTTAATGGGAATTTAATTAATTCATTCTGGAGACCCCCAAAATAAAAAAAATATATATTTTCTTACTACGTTTATTTATATGTAATAATAAAAATACATACATACACAGTCTTGCGTTTTTATTAGTCATGTTTTTTCTGTTTGAAAAGGTTAAAGAATCTATTTAATATCGATTGCTTTTCTATCTTCTTCAAGATTTTTTGTAAGTAATTAATAGCATTGCAATTATAGAAATCCCCAAGCCTCAACCTGGTTTAGATGCCATTCTAACATCATGTTCTGACATCCTCCCACTTCTTCAAAGGATCTTTAATAACAGATATCGGCATTAATCCTCTTTTTCAGAAGAAAACATATCTTGCTGAGTTTCTTGATGTTCTTCATTCATGAGTTCTTGTTTTTCTGTTGTCAGATCCGTTTCAGGTTCCATTATGAACTCTTCGATGTTCTTTATTTCTCAGATTTGATTTTTGTTACTCTTTTAGCTGCTTGAGTCTTCTTGATCATACAGTATTTTTCTTAAATAAGATTGAACTGCTGCCTACTGTAGACCTGTTCATGCCATACTGCCCAGCAACATTAGGCATATTCTGCCCACCTTTGCTATTATACTCTCACCTTTCGAAAAGAAAAACGGATGCAAAATTTAACGAGTGCCTACCCAACAGTCTTGCGAATACATAACAGAATTGTTTTGTCAGAAAAATAAAAGGCTGGAATTACAAGGGAGAGTTTCAAAGTTCGGAGGAATACTATCCGATCGGTATATACCGGCTTAAGTGTCAATGTCGACGTCTCCCACACTCCGAAAAGTTTCGAATTGTTGCCCGAAGACAAGGGAAGACCAATCGGTATTCATTATTTTATGTCGCTTCTTCTTGTGTTTGTTCTGTGGGGTGTTCGTTATCCGATCATGTGTTCGTTGTCCGGACATAAAAGTCTTTCGCGAAAGTGTTCGTTATCCGATCTGTTCGTTAACCGATCACCCACTGTATTCTAAAAATCTTTCAAAGCCATTAAATTAATTTACTTCAAAAAATTGATGAAGAGAAAATCATTTTGCATGTAATATAAGTTAAGGTACTACATAGTAGATTGAAAACACATTAGAGAAATGTTTATTCACACATAAGGTAACTCTGTAAACACACACTGTTATTGCCATTTAAAAAATAAAAATTTTAAAGCAAGCTAGATAAACATGAAAACTGTTCTACTCTCAGAGAAAAATTAAAAACACATATTGTAAAAATTATTCCAATATGATACCCTAAGACTATTTTTGAATTAGATTTTCATATGTCATTTATCTGATGAAATATTAGTGTTGATAATGAATTGATCTAATTTGTACAGTATTAAAAAAATCTTTTAAGAAAAAATTTCATTTGTAATTAATGATATCATAAATGTTACAAATTAGTTTTTCAATTATATTTACATTTCATTTAAATTGTAAATTAGATTTCATTTGTAGATAGCTATTACTGCAATTTTTTATACAATTAACAAAAACATTTTTCAGGAAAATACACTTGTAATAATTTTGAAATGATACTGTAGAATTAAAACAACTTGTGTGTGTGAAAATTATGTGTCTATGGACATAAATTACTATGTAAAATGATTAATTCAACTAAGATGTGGTCAAATGATATTGACATATAATAGTAGACTAATAACAGATCCTGATAGACTTTGTAGTAGTTGTAACATGCAAGTATATGAAACTTCAAAACACGTATGTATTTTTCTATTGCATGAAATTTGACGAAAGTAGAAAAAGTATTTGATGAGATTTAAGTCTTGGAAAAATATATCTTAAAAAAAGAAAAGAAAAACTCGCAGAAGGCTAAATGAACATGACTACATATTAAGAAAAGCAAAGCAGAAACTATGTCTAACTGAAAAGCATAAAAACTACATCTGAAGTGGGCAAAAGCCTATCAGATTGGGGATTTGAAGCATTGGAAACAAGTTATGTTTACAGATGAATCATGTATTTACACAGGATACAAAGATAATAGTGGTAGCAAAATTTGGAGAAAATCCAATGATAAGTTTCTATCAGAATGCCTTATTTCAAAAACAATTTCCAAATGGAGTTGATTCATGCTCCACTCTTTTCAGCTATGTAGATTTCTACAACCTCCAATGCTCTTATGTATTGCCAGTCAAAGACCCTGTGTATTACAGTAGCCTTGTTCCAATGGGGAAATTCCCAGATTGGTGGCATAATGAGCCAGAGCCGTATTAATCTTTCCTTTTGCTACATTGTACTTGTGATCTCATAATGTGTCTTGCAACAATCTGTATGTGGAACCAATATACATTATAGAACCAAATTTACAATTATGTTACAAGTATGTTACAATTACAATGAACCAAATGGAGTTATGGTTTAGGCTACCATGATTGCAGCAGGACATGGACATTTGAAAATTGTCAACACTACAGTGAATGCAAGGTTTATTTGGAAATTTTAGACAATTTTTTAAGAAAAATGGCAGAGGAACACTTTGGTAACTGACTATCACGATGACAATGCATCTTCCCACCATACTTAAACAGTATGCCAATAGTTCCTAAACATTTCACATTTAGATTGCCCACCAAAAAACCCAGATTTAAATCCAATAGAATTTGAGGAATGTTTAGAAGAAACTGGTTTGAAAAAGAAATGGTCTTCATTGTCTGAACTAAAGAGTACTATTCGAACCAGCTGGGCAAAATTATCTGCAGACTTATGTGAAAAGTTGATGACTTCAATACACAGACATATTAAAGCAGTAATAAAGACCAAAGACAGACCCACACAATATTAATTTACTTTATTCCATACTTATGCATCTGTGATTACTATATTCCATATTTTTGTCTAACATTGCTCAAGTTTTGAGAATGCTGTTTCTTAAATTTTTTTATATAATTGCTATCATCTCTTTTCTGTTGTTACTTGCACAAGATTGCAAATAAATTTTATTAGAAAAATTAATCATTTAATGTCTGAGTTTTGAAAATAAAATATAAGGAATTTCACACATGAAATTACAACCCCTGATCAAAAGTATGGAATATTGTTCAATTTGCAGCATGCCATTCAATTCAGAATGGCATGCTGGAAATTGAACAATATTCCATACTTTTGATCAGGGGTTGAAATTTCATATGTGAAATTCCTTACATTTTCATAAATAATTCTAATGGTTTACATTTGCTAATGATAAACAGAATTTCTAGACCTAGACTAAACAATGTTTCTAATATTGTATTCAAGACTTGCAAATTCCAGAAAAATACATGCATATGAAATAAAATCACATAACTTATACATATTAACCTTATTCAATCCAACTATTTTTTTTTATATTTAGAATGATGCATGACTTGAACATATGCTAATGCACTATAATTTCATTCAATTATTGGCTGCAGCTTTCCTGCTCTAATCAGAACTAATATTTGCAATTTATTTTTAATCTATCTTTACATACATAATTGGTTTTCTTAATTTTCATTATACAGTATAAGAAGTTGAAAACAAATAACTAAGTATTAGGAAGACAAAATAGATCTTGATTATCAATATCTAATAGCAACGACTTACAAAAAGTGAATTTATCAATCCATATGCTAAAAAAAACTTTTAATAATAAAAATACTGCAACATTAAAGAAGTTTTTCTTATCTAGAATCTATAATACTCCTTAAACATGATTAATTAAAATCAATCCTTTATTTACATGTGTAATTATAGTCAGTCTTATGAATGCAGAAGATTCACATGCATAACCAAATGAAGCAAAGGCTAATTAATATATGCAACACACACACACACACACACACACTAAGATTTGATATAGATATATTAAGATTTGTTAATTTTTACACAGTAGAGTGTCGTTTATCTGAATCAATTGGGGACTGGGGTTGTTCCGATAACTTATTTTTTGGATAACCGATTATGTACGAAAAAATATATTAACCTATCCAGTGTTGAAATTTTTCTCCATTGCATGTCGCTTTGTGTTGAATTTTCGCTGATGTTAAGCCTAATGTAAACTTTTTAAAATAATAATCATGGCTTTGTATCGTTAAAAATTATTTCTTCATTTTTTACAAACAAAATAAATATATTGAAAAATATAAAAACAAAAAACATTATACTTTAAAGTTAATCTAGTATCAAAAACGTTCAATTCAGCATGACACACAGTCCTCAGAAAAACACTACACAAAAAGTGCTACTGCTGCCAGATAAAACACACACACCAACAAAAAAAATATTGGAGTAGCCCAACATATAGCCAAAGATTGCAGGGCCACAGCAGTAGCAAAAATTTAAATTTGCCAATTGGAATGCTTTCGGTTAACTGACGTTTTGGATAAACGACGCTCTACTGTAATAATTTTTTTAATAAATATTTTATTATAAAATATTTTTTANACAAATGTTTCATCAATTAATATGACCATATTCTCATAACTTATAATTTATTTTTAATAAAAGATAATCAATAATGCATTTGTCAGTATTATATACTCAGATCAATCTAAGACAATTTCTCAACAATATTTTCAGTAACATCTATTGTTTCTACTGTTGACATTAAATTTTTCATGTCAACAAATTTTTCATCTGAAATAACCAACATTTACTAGAAGTGAATAATATCAGGTATCAAACACAAATATTTTCATTAGTTTGAAATATATTTCACTGGAAAACGTCTATAAAAATTTTTTTCATTTAACAGTCATGAAATTTTGAACTAACTAAATTACCTGTGGCATTCCCATTCCTCCAGGTCCTTGCATCATTGCTCCTGGTCCAGACATTCCAGACCCTCCTGATGGTCCTCCTGGTCCTACATTAAATTTTTAATTAAGCTAAAATAGTCATTTCTATAACAGAAACCTTCATTTCATCAGTTAAATAAATTAGTTCCATTGTAACAGAACGTCTTAAAACAAATTTAAGCAAGTAATTAATAAATTTTATTTTATTAAAAATAATTAGTATAATTCAGAAATTTATGAAAGAAATTTGAATAATATATTTATATCAACCTATATTTATAAATGCTTTGCTTTAAAAAGCATCTATTATAGTCATAAAGGAATAGAACCAATAAGTACATTATGTGATCTGCAGAAATAAACAGAAATAAGATCCATTTAGATAAAAACATTATGATTAGCAATGGAAATTGGAAACTGTATAAACACATGAGACTTATATTTAAGTTATTTATTTTTACTTGAATACTTTTGAAAGACTAGTCATTATACAGTGTGTGGAAGAGTAACTTTACAGCTTTTTAATTAAAATAACAAACAAGTTATGTAATTGTAAATATCACATAGTCTGAACTAATTACTGTGTGCACATAAACAAAACAAAAACAAACGTTTTTGAATTCCACCAGAGTTCTTCGTCAGGCTTTGTAACCATTACCCGATGGATCTCTGTAAAAGCTTTTGGAATAAAAAATTCAAACAAGCATTCAAATATAAGCTCAAAAATTTAAAAACCACATCATGCCTGCGCAATCAGTTGCCCTATCAGAACTCAACAAATGGTTAAACAGTGTTGTCAATCAACTCTTGCCAAGTAATTAACAAAACCATTTCCTCTTTATAACTTATGAATGTAAAATTGGATTTAATTATCTGCACGGCTTCCAACCATCTGAGGTGTTCCGAAGGGAAAAGAGGATGAGTTTGACCCAGCTAAAGTCCGCTAAAATGTCCAGATCTGCTACATATGTAGAGGGGGCCATGGTAGTTCTCGCATGTCGTACATCAACAAGATGCTTTTGTCGCCTGATCAATGTAAAGCAGATCTTTATTGTATCTGTTGTCCCTAATGGGGACATTATATATGCCAGGGAATCTGAGTTAGGAGGGTCCTTCCCATTATGCAGCATGTCAAAAATAGTTAGGCACCTCCTGTAAGTGACACACACCTAGCGGTTCCTGGCAATTTCAGCACGTAAGAATCTTAAGTAGGATTAAAGGTAATTATGCTAAATTAACTTATCATTCTGTATTTAACCTCAAAGCATTTAATCTAGGATTTATAAACAATCCTTAATTTTATACTATGTCCTAGCGGTAGCAACTTTTGTTGTCTATGCATTCTTGCAATAATAGCTAAAACTGTGCATGACTTTCTGCAATATTTAAGAGAGAATTGCTGCCACTTCATCCGTGATGTTCCATTTCAACTCTGCCAGTCTTTGAATTGCTCCCAGTGTAAGTAGTTGCCCTGTTTCGTTGAATTCACAGATTCTGATATTCAACACCACATTAGCACAACTACAGTTCAATAAAGTTATAAAGCATTTTTATACAACAAGCTGAATTTACAGTCACAGCCCCACTTCTTTTTTTTGTCTTCAATGAAATATGAACCAATCATTCCATAAATTGCTACACCATACTAAGCAAAGGCCTTAACACTGTAAAGGTTGCTTATATGTAACTTATAAAAGTTCTGATAAAAAAAATGCATTATTTTTTACATGAATTTCAATTGTTACTAAATGACTAAGTTAAACAGCATGTGTGTTTAAGGTCATTCTCCCCCATACCATTTGTCATTGCCACATTCAAAACTGATCAGATTAACCTGCCACATCCTGTATATGACAGCTAATTTCAGAATAAGCTTATTCCATGTAAAATTAGGACAAATTAAACAGTAAGAAGAGTATAGGAATCAATCCTTTTATTTGGTTCAATGTTTTCCAAGACTTCATCCCATCATCACATCCAAAAAATTTGAATCAAATTTATAAATTTAACACTTTTGAATTCCTTCATAATACTTTACAAAAATATAAGGATACTTTCAAAAACAAATAAAAATAAACTCTCTTTTTTTAAGAATTAAATCTTCCTTTATAAAAATTATATTTTTAAATTATTCATTTTTTCAAAATGTATATGGAAATATGAAAAAGAAAAAAAAAGGAATAATTACCGTTGTATCCTTATATTGAAAATACTAAAAACAAATTTTAAAACAAACATTTTTGTCTTGTAAGACTTATTTTGGTTATAACAGTTTTTGTTATCAAGAAAAGCTTTTAAAAAATTCATGTGATTTTACATGAAATTTGCAGCTGAAATATAGTCTGTTATTGATTTGTTTTATCTCATTTATAGAATAAAATCTTAAAATTATTGTGTAACAGTAAAAATATATTAATAAAGAATTAATTTTAAAAATATAATAATACAAATTAATAAAGTAATATAAATTAAAACTTAACATACCTGGACCCATGGCTGCAGCAGCAGCAGCGGCAGCAGCAGCACCCATATGATCTCCCATACCTTGATTCCCAGAACCTTGCATTTGTCTGAGAGCTGCTTCTTGCTGAAAATAAAATTTCTAATAAATAAAAACTATTTACTGAATAAGTAATATTCAAATAAACTAAACTATGAAACTTAAAGGTTTAATTTCATAAATTTGATAATGATTTTTAGTGTGTAAAATTCATTTTAATGATTTATCTTACAAATTAACATTTATTCATAATTTGGATTGCTTACATTGAAATTTCAAAAGGTTTGTTTATATACTGACAATTGCTAAAATAAGTCTCCAAAAACTTAAGAAATCAAACAGAAATTTGTTTTAAACTGTAATTATCATAAATTCCAGTTGTGATGGGAACACAACTTTTTTCATTTGTTTACTTATTTTAGTTTAGTTACATTTATTTTGGAGATTTTTAGGTTAGTTTAGGGCAATTGCTTTATTCTCTTGATTGGACAAACAAAATTCCAAAAACAACTTAACATTCATAGTCTATCTTCCAAGAGATGCCATAAACTACATGACTTTCAAAGGGTAAACAGCAACTGTATCAACTACACTAAAAGGGTATAAAATGATGAGCACTTGATGGCAGAGTTGAACAAAGTTTCTCTAGCTTAGCTAGACATGTAGTCAGACAACCATGAAGAATTTGTTAAATCTTTGTTGAATTAATTGGCATTTAACCTTTTAGGTAATAACCATTGTGTCATAACAAATGTTGATTTAACTAATGATCATCATTGTCATATTAAATATTTTTGTAACCTTCTCCCATTAAATCTTATTTTTACTGTTAATCCTTGGTTGTTTTGGTATTTCTATTAACTGAAGTTTTCACAACATTTTACCCCACCCTACAGACCTTATCCTAAGATCTGGTCAAGGAATTAGAGTTGTAACACTCATCAGAGTTAAGACTAAGCTTTACAAAGTTAGGCTATCATCATCTGATGAGATTAATAGGATTGTGAACATAAGGTATCCCCAGATGATCTACCTTTACAAAGCTGAAAATTGAGTCCCTGAATATTTTTTGATTCATATTTATCTTGTTTTTTTAGGTCTGGTGAATATTGATTTTTCAGAATGTTGATGGCTACTGATACCACTTCTCTACTCTCACAGATTCTAGACTGATATTTCTCTATGTAATAATTCACTGACACATTTACTACAAGTTATGTATGGTCTCTGACCACAGGAAAAAAACAATGTATCAAAATATATTTTAATCAATGAGCATCATCTTTGTATCTGAAGATCAATTTTCTAGAGCCTATGTTTAAAAATTACTATGTCAGGAAATATCTTTTTCATTGTTCACAGTCATTTACTAGCATGATAACTATTACTGTATTAAAAGACTAGGGTCAGCAGATACACAGCTATGACAATGGAAGATATGATTTGATATGAAAAAATGATATGAAGTAACTGTTGTAAAAATGCAGTTTGGAAGTATAGCCAATCTTAACAAAATTAATTTTAAAATCTGTGCTATAAGAGTAGCCAGCACTATGATAACTAAATACATAAAATAGATCAGCAATAAAAATTAGTACCATTAAATAAAAAATGTAGCAGTAACAAAAAAATATAAAAATCACAGTACAACAGTAGAGTTACCAATGAAATCTCTGCTAATTGTGCATCTATGCAATAATCTTATAATCATTATATTTAATATAAAACAATTCATCACATTTTCAATGAATGACATTTTCTTCAATACAGTGGGTGATCGGTTAACGAACATAATCCGTTCCAAGACTTTGTTCGCTATCCAAATTGTTTGTTAACTGATTATTGATTTACCATAGGTTTCCATGGGAATTTGATTAATTCATTCTGGAGACCCCCCCAAAAATAAAAAATATATACTTTCTTACTACGTTTATTCATATGTAATAATAAAAATATATACTATATATACATGGTCTTGCATTTTTATTAGTCCTGTTTTTTTCATTTGTGGGGGTTAATCTGTCAATCTGTCCAATGTCAATTGCTTTTCTGTCTTCTTCATGATTTTTCAGAAGTAATTAATAGCATTGTAATTGTAGAGCTCCCTGGGCCTATTAACCTCAACCTGGTTTGAATGCCATTTTAAGACCACTGTTCTGACATCCTCCCACTTCAAAAGATCTTTAATAGCAGATATCGGCATAAATCTGCATTTTCAGAAGAAAACATAAAAGAATTGTTTCTGTCAGAAATATAAAAAGCTGGAATTACAAGGGAGAGTTTCAAAGTTTGGGGGAATACTATCTGATCAGTATAATACTGGGTAGAACGTCGATGTCTCCTGCGCTCCAAAAAGTTTCGAATTGTTGCCTGGAGATAAAGGAAGACTAATTGGTATTCATTATTTTACGTCACTTCTTCTTGTGTTTGTTCAGTGAAGTGTTTGTTATCTGAACATGTGTTCATTGTCCGATCATAAAAATCTTTCGCGAAAGTGTTCATTATCCGATTTGTTTGTTAACCGATCACCCACTGTATACAGTATTTTAATTCTCAATCTCATTTCCTTAAAAATAATCACCATGACAAATACATATCATTAGAAATAGTATTAGTGTACATAAAAGTTATTGTACCTTTCTGTATTATATGGATATTGGTAATTTGATTAAAATTTTCAAAAATCCATCAATGAGTTGCTTCATTTACCAGCAACGTTTTGTGGCACCATCCATTATGATATTTTATTTTTAAAAAAAACCTTTTCATATTTTTAACTACCGTGTTTCCCCGAAAATAAGACATCCGCAGAAAATAAGACCTAGCACAGATTTTGCTGAATTGCGAAATATAAGACCTCCCCCTGAAAGTAAGACCTAGCGAAGTTTTTTTTTTGTCGCAACGGTCATCGACAGATGGTTGAAAGTACAGCCACTGATTGGTCAGCAGACAATTACGCCACACGGCATGATTTGCATAAGACTATGGCTTGGGAATCACAGATTTGCATAATGTTATCGCTGGTGATCGCTAATTGGTCGGCTGGGAATCACGCCACATCACATTTGCATAGTGCTACGGTTCAGTAAGCACTAATTGGTCATCGAGCTCGATGTGGACACTATAAAAAGGTTAAGTTGAATGTGTCGCAAGGTGTTCTCTCGAACCTGTTTAGCGTATTGTTCAACAATAAATGTGAATTCGTCTTCATGGAAATATAAGACATCCCCCTGAAAATAAGACCTAGTGCATTTTTTAGAGCAAAAATTAATATAAGACACTGTCTTATTTTCGGGGAAACACGGTATTTTAAAATGGCAAAAGTTTTGTTTTGAGGGATTTTATAAAAATTGTAAATGCTAATTAATAATGAGTAAAATCCTCATTAAGTCTGACCCTACTGGAGATACCCCCTTTATCTCCCCACCCACTCAACATTTTAATCACCAAAATTTATTACCATTAATCCCCCTAATAAACGAATCTCCCTGCAAAATTTCAAATATTTAAAAAAACAAAAAAAAATCACAGAGGTTATTAAGCTTCAAACAGGGTGAACAAAATTGTACTCCACAAACAAACATCCATACAAACAAACAGAAAAACATCACCAATGTTTTTGCATTTCTCAATGTTTCAAGATCTACAAGTCCAAAAATGTAAAAATTTTGAGCGGTCACTTTTGACCGATTGCTGTACTTTCCCTATCTAAATGTATAAAATTACTTGTCCTGAGTGACTGACAGACTGATCATCGCCCAAAGCAAACCACTGAACCTAAAGAGGTGAAATTTGGTACACAGTTAGGGTACCATCATGAAAATGCACACTAAGAAGGAATTTTTCGAAATTCCCCCATGGGGGCAGAGGGAGAGCGCATTAAGGCTTAACCTGAAGAACAGCTTCTACTGTACTATTTTAGATGCAATTTTTTGTTTTCTACATTTAGTTTTCATTGAGTACTTAGGTGTATTAAATTTATAACATTTCAGACATTGTTATAAATATTTTTATACATTTCGATTTTTTAACCAAATGTTCAAGCAATTTTAAATTCAAATTTGTTATTGCATATTGGTTCAATTATAGAACGATTTTAAGTGTTCCAGAAAATTGATCAAATTGAAAACAGTTTATTTGATTCTCAGCAATTGTCATCATTCTCAGCGGTAGGTGTTATATAACAATTACTATAGTTGTTGAAATACTGAATATAAATGGAGTTTGCTTGCAAAATCTGCATATGCAAAGTTGTGGGTAACAGCTAGTAGTATTATATATAACAGCCAAAAAAGTAAAAAATTAATTCCTCTCGCAAAAACAGCTGCTAATCTTTCGTCTAAATCATACTACTGTAATTTCATGCGGATAACCTATAAAAAATTACAAAAACAAAAAACACCTTTCTAAGACCAATCATAACATATAACCCATGTCTCCAGGGCAGGTGCTGAAACCAATATAATTAAAATTAAGTATTAAAATATTGCTTTTTCTGCTTCCTTTCTGTTAACAGAAAATTGTGTAAAACAACCAAGTTCAAATAGTCTATGATCATACTGATTTCTGGATTATTCAAACAAAACTACATTTAGGAATGATAGTTCTGGCATAAGAACTACTCAATACAAAAAAAACTCATTAACGTTACTTAATATCAATGTTGTTATAAAGGTATGTGTAACAAGTCACTCCACCACATTTATCAGAAATGCTCTTTATTAATGATTATCTGACATTTTTTTAAACTAAAGTTCTTTAATATTTTTTTCTAATCAACAATTTTATCTTTTTTCCAACAGCTGAAAGATTAACAATATAAAATAATGTATCCTTGTTATTAATATGAAATTGTAGTACTATATAAGTCCCAAAAACAGGGGTAATAATTTACTTTTTTATGATTTATTAATGAATAATAATTAAGCTGTTATAAAAATAGAAACTTGTTATATTTAGAACACATTTATCTAGAAAAAACAAAGTTGCCCTGCCTTATTCAAGGAGATTGCCAAAAATAATAATTTCAGTCTTGCTTTCTCCCTCCTAAAAAATGCCAAAGATGAAGCAGACGTGCATCACCTCCC